TTTTTTTTTTGGGGGGGGGGGGGGGGGGCTGGGTTGATTGGAAAAGTGTCTAGTCGTTCGGATGGGACAATAAACCGAGGCCCAGACTGTGCACTTTTCAGATCCCCCGAAAGTTGGAAATAAAAAAATAGTAGGCTAGTGCTGCTGTTCGGGCAAAATTTCCCTCATTGCACACAACAACGATTTGCTCGTCTCCATAAGCCCATTAGGTGCAGAAAGGTGGGACATAATGCTTCATAGTTTCTTATTTCGAATAAATCACAAGTAGTCGAACTGTTGAAAGAAACAGCATTACCCTCTCGTCGTTAAGTATTCAACTACTGAGTTAAATTCAATCGGATTGACACTGATTGATGATAATTGGTCTAATCAGTCGGCACAATCTGAAACTTAGAGTCACGGTTTGTTCGGAATAACTCGTATCTAACTGGACAAATATCAACAATTTTTGAAATTTTTTTGTCGATTTTTGATTGGAAATTTTTATTGGAAGTGTGCTTTCAAACCATTTGTCCCCATTATTAAGATTGTCGGTCGGAGACTTTTCGTTTATGAAATATGGACCAAAATGTTCTATTTGACTGCTCGGTTGTACGCAAGTCGTTATTTACAAAATATTTTCTATATAGTCTCGATTGATGGACTCAACAAACATACAGCTTATATTGTAATTAGTCGAAGTCTCTCTTATCCAGGCCGTCATTTATTTCATATCTCTTTTGTCCTCATTCGGATTTTTTTTGGCTATCTCCGTCAACCTCATTTAGCAATCGGTTCACAGTGAAAATTGTCGCTCTGCAACATACACAATGCATTGCGGAAATATTGAGAGTCGCTAAATGTCTTGGACTTTGCATTTTATGGGAGCTCTCTAAGGTCCTTTACCGTTTGGAATGTACAATTGTGACTGCTGTTTTCCATCTTTTGATACTTGACCTTTCATTTTCAGGATCGATGTTGGTCAAATTTGATATGGATGAATGGGTGATATGGATATATTGCTCAAAGTAAAGAGGATAGTTCTCATGCTTTATTCTATGGCGAGCTTCTTGATGATTGTTGAGAGGAGCAGACTACTAATAAGGTTTATGTAACAAAGTTGAGAAGGCTCCAAGCAAACTCGGAAAAGTATTGACAAAGGCGTCACAACTGTTGCACTCTATCTTGCTGACAAAATAACTCATAGAGATGATCTTCGATTATGAACTCGGTTTCTTCATAGCAATGCGACAAGTTAAGTGGACAAGACCTCGAGTCTCATTGATGGAACGAAGAACCGCAACACCGTAACCTCATTGCAAAATGTTTGATAGTCCCCGTTAGATGCAGAGCAGTAGGTCATAAAAGCCCCATTACCTTTCAGACAGACCGATACAGCTACATCTGTCGCAAACGTCCAAATCTCTGATTTGAACTATATAGTCGGTCATTAAAATTCTAACCGCTCGAAATGGGACTGTAGAAAGCAAATTTGCATTCTGTGTACAAATATTGGGAGGTATGAATAGGCAATTCACTACATAAACCCAGGTCGACACGAGAAATGAGGACGTATTCATTCTGTTATAAATACATGTGCCAAATAAAACCAAGGGATATTTCAAATTAGATTTTTAATAAATGTTTTATGTGTAAGTCACATTTTCTGGCGAGGTGCCAGAGAATGAAGTCGGACAACTGGTATTGGTCGTTGACGTAAGAGTTGTTACAGTTCCATTGACGCTGTATGTACAACCGTTTGCAGATTGGATGTAAGAGCTACCATCGGTTCTAGTACGGTAAGTATTGCCTGCTGCGTCTCTGGTGTAGGTATCTCCGTTGGTCGGATCTTGGTAGTATACAACTCCGTTTGAACCAGTGTAGTAAATTGTTCCGTCCGGATTCTGGTAGTAGACGATTCCGTTGTTGGGATCGGTGTAGTATTTAACTCCGTCTGGTCGGACGTAAATCTTCAGACCGTTTGGGTCGACGTAGAATCTATTTCCTGCAGCGTCGGTGTAGTATCGGTTACCATCCGGACTGATTTGATCATCAACTTTGTATCTAATACCATTCTCCTATAAAAATAGAAAATGAGTAATATTTCATATTCTCCATGATATACATTGAATGTTGTCATTTCTGATCACTGTAATCAATGCAAGAGGACGTCTGTCCAAGCGTCCCATCTTTGAAGGAACTTATTGCTTTATTGAAGACCCAGTCCTAACCTTACAAGGCTTGCAAATCCAAATAAACCAGGGTATAACGTAGGCTAATGTAAATATTCGAGCGGGACCATTACCCTTTTTAAAACACTATCCCCAAATACATTTTTTATTTTTCCTCTAAAAGATGCACAAACTCCGAAATCTTAGAGAGACAATAGATATTCCCCTTCTGCCTACAGAAAACCAGCCTTTACACCTGACATAGCCTTCTTGGACAAAATAGCTTAATTTACGAGTGACCCGAAAGAGTAATACATTCCACCTACCGTAACGTATGAAGAACCATCAGGACCGACAGCATAGTTAGGATCACCAAAACCACTTGTGTTAGGAGCTGTAGGTTCACCTTGGGCGTTCAATGGGTAAATCTGGTTTGTGGTGGGGTCCTTTAGAGTACCGTCGGGCTGCACGATGTACTGTTTGCCCGTGGGGTCGACATAATATGTGACGCCTTGGGTGGTAGGATTGGGTGGATACACTTTGTTTCCGTTGGCGTCAACGTAGAATCTGTTACCAAGAGAGTCGGTGTAGTACCGGTTGCCGTCTGGACTGATCTGGTCATCCACTTTGTATTTGATACCGTTTTGCTACAAGTAGAAATATCAAAAATACTTATGTTAAGCTTTCACAAATTCTGTTCATCATTGCAGTGGTAAGGGATCTTTATCATAAACGTACCGTTATTGTGAAGCGACCAGGCGATTTTGGGCAAATAGAGGACATGAAATTTTGGTAAAATTGGAAATTGGAAATCTCACACATTACTCTCAACAAAACCGAAATTTTGGGAGTGATGACGCCACAGATTAAGATCACTTGAGTCCAAAATTCACGTAATTGCTTTTCGCTGAAAAGCTGTGTAGTAACTATACACAATAAAATATACTAACCGTAACGTAAGCTGAACCATCAGGAGCAACAGTATAGTTAGGATCACCGAATCCGCTGGTATTGGGTACTGAAGCTTCACCTAAACCATTGAGTGGGTACACTTGGTTGGTGGTGGGGTCGATCAAAGACCCATCAGGCTGTACATTGTACTGTTTACCAGTAGGGTCGATATATTTTGGCCCCTGGGTAGTGGTTGGGGTGAAGACTTTTCCACCACTAGCGTTGATGTAAAATCGGTTTCCAGCTGCGTCCGTGTAGTATCGGTTTCCGTCGGCACTGACGTCATCATCTATCTTGTAGCGGACACCATTCTCCTGAAAAAGTTAAAGGAAGATGTTAAAGAATGGAAATCAACTTCCAGTTCTTCTACAATCAAATGAAAATGTACTGACGGAACTGATATTATCTGGTAAAAGTTTGGAAGTATTTGAAAAAGACACAATTTTTCAATTTCTTTGACTACATTCAATGGCAAGTTAAGGTACTAATTTGTGCAAACTCGTAGTATTTTGTTTATTGTTTGGAATAACAATATTTTTGGAAGTGAAGGAGGGGCCAGGGTTGTAGAGATTTGCTTAATATGAAACGGCTTACCTCTACAAAGGTTCCTCCATCTGGTGTTACGATGTAGTATGGTGCACCGAACCCAGTGTTAGTGGGAATACGAGCCTCTCCTCGCTGATCCCTTGGATAATATTGCCCAGTTGCCTGGTCATATAGAGTGCCATCGGGAAAGACGTTATAAAGCCTGTTATTAGGATCGCTGTAGTAACTTGGTGGGTAGGATGGATTTACGGGTGCGTACGGCGATTGGTAAGGGCTTGGATACGGAGATGGATAGCCGCCATAAGGAGATGGTGGATAGCTGTAAGGATAGCTCCTGGCTTGGTTTTGAACTCTGGTTGTCAAATTTGTTGCTGTGTCTACTTTTGGTTCAGAGTTGATCTTTGATAGAAATTTGCTGAATGCGGATACCGGCTCGGATGCGGGTTGTTCCTCAGGTGTAGCAACGGGTTCTTCTACAGCTGGTGGTGCTGAGCCTCCAAAGGCAGAAGCTGCATTGGCAAACTGTTGTCGTAAAGCGTTCAAGTCAGATGCAATGCTAGCCGCAGATAAATACTGGGCGGAGCAAACCAATCCAAGAAGAATCCAAATTTTCATCTCTTACGTTTCTGGAAAAAAGGCAATTAAGATGTAGGTGTTAATGACCGGTGAGTTTCCATGGTGAAAAGGGGGTAAAAGAATTCATAGGAGTGGCAACGGAAGTTCGGGTGGTTTAACCAAGGCGAGTACATAGAATAGGAACATAAAACATGCTTACTATACTTTGAGAACTTGAACCAGAGAATCTGAAGCTAAGAAAAGACTGAAGACCGACATTTGGGACATGAAGATAACTTGAAGGAATGGTCTCAAAGCAATGCGGTTGATATGCGGTTAGACTGAGATAATTCAGCCTAGTATGCGTATAGCTACTCTACCACCAACACATAATGTGTTCTGGGTTCACTTTGCTTTCCACCCTATATGATCTTTCCAAACAACCGACCTAAATGGCAAATTTGGGATCGAAGTAAGACACAAATAAACCAAAGAATTTATTCAAGTTTTATTTCTTCTACCAAATTAATGAAATATAATGTCAATTAAGGCGTGGTCGTTCTGTGGGAACCGTATTTAGCTCCGGTGGGTGAGGTCCCGGAGAACCGATCGGGGCAGTATGAATCGTTGGTGGTACGAGTAGTGGTGCCGTCGCCCTGGACTCGATAGTTGCAGTTGTTGATGGACGCAATCCATTTGCTTCCATCAGGTCTGGTGATATAACGGTTACCAAATCTATCTTCGGTATACTCGCTGTTATCGTTTGTGTTGCGGAAATGTTTGACCCCGTCAGGACCTCTCCAGTATACGGTTCCATCTCGTTGTCTGTAATAGTTACGATCTCCGACTCGGTAGTGCGTTTCTCCATTAGAATCCGTATAGTATGTACGTCCGTTGGAATCCTTCTTTTCAATCTTGTGAAGTCGTCCGTCGATCTCAGCGTAGGTTGAACCGTCTGGGTATACGTGGTAGTTCCTTTCGTAATTGTTGCCAGCTGGAATGATTCGAGCTCCTCCTCGCCCTGCAGGGAACCTGTATCCAGTCTTAACGTCTACCAATGTTCCGTTTGGGGTCTCGGCATAGACTCGACCATTAGGTGCTTTGTAGTATCGGACTCTTGTGAAATGGTTTCCGTGGTAAGGATCCGGTGGGATTCCTTGTGCTGTGTATCCAGTACCGCTGGATCCGAACCCTGGTGGACCGTATTGGTATCGAGAATACCCACCATCGTCAGTGTTTCTGTTATTGGTCGTCTGGGCTGCGACTATTGCTAGTCCACAAACCAAAGCAGCTACGCAGATCTTCATCTTAGCACCTGAAAGAAAAAAGATAAGTTCTTTAATTGAGAAATGATTATTATTGATTTACTCTTATCTGATCAGCTTGCTCATCTATGATTTAGTTTGACAAAGACTATATATGTATTTGGTCCATTTGAAAATTCAACAGGAGAAACAATGATCTTGAAAAAAAAGCCCAATAAATCCAACAAATTGTGAGAGAGACAGAAGAGGCTTGTTGTACAGTGTCGGACAAGATCCAAATGCTTTGGATTGGATGAAAAACTACTGAAATTTTCAAAGATAACGATGCTTGAGCAATTTTGAAAAACTTAGAAGGCATGCTTACCGTAAGACACTGAGGATCTTCAATGACTCTGTATTCTGCTGGACATGGGTGACGATCCGCTCCATTTATGCACAGCTGGCCTATTAGTTAAGGACACGTGACAGGTATCGCATCCTACGTCATATATCTGCTAATTAGGTCCCAATTAATTAAAATCAACAGACTCGAAACTTCCTGTTCCATATAATGCTGTTTTCTGTGCCAGTTTTGTTCACTTACCAATGACACGTATTTCGGCCGAACAAAGCGATCAGGCTAATTTATTGCCTATGTGCGTCAGTTTCAATAACGCTACTCCTTACGTTTCGCGCCATTAATTTCGCGCCAACATATAAAGTACTAAATCTCACGGTGCAAACAAAAGCAAATATAGTCATTAACTCAACTCTCATTCACCAAGCGCGCTGAATTAAATCTGCCATTGCACACTGTGTGGTGTACTTTTCATCATGCACAATTGTGCTTCTAACATTAAGAAAGGGTGTCCCCTACCTGTCTATGGTCGATGAGCAATTGCAGCTGAAAACTACAATATGTTGATTCTATTTTATACCAGAACGGTAGCATCGGGGGTGGCGGTGATTAGGTTTTAGGATGGCCTTAAAACAACAATAGCTTACAATATTTCATTTATACTGTAAATCTGGCACTTACGTATGATATCTGAGAACCTTTGTTTTTCTCAAAACGATAACCTTATATCTATCTGGATAGTCCGAAACTTGTAGAATCTGTTAATCGTGGACATAGATGGACAATAAGTCTTTGTTATGTAAAAATGTAATTTTCTACAGATGTCACTTAGCTAGAGCCAGAAAAACTAACATCACTATGTAATTGGTCTTTCAGAAGTGTAAGATGGCCGGCGTGCAGGGCTCAAGCAGTAAGTTTTGGACAAATTTAGTTGGTGATCATTATTTGATGGATGTCGGCCATTTGGATTTAGAAACACAGTGACTTTTCGATCCTTCTTGACAACCAACATACGTCATAGAATAACTATCGGAGACCATACAGAGGCATGAAGATTCGGACTATGGTTCAAGCAAAATGTCCTTTACTGACCTACATCTTGGTTTAAAGTACCAACATATGTTTAGTATACTAATTACTGTTCTGAATACCTTCCCTGTTTTAATAGAGGACAAACAGTACGTGCGTATAACAAAAACTTATTTTTTATTGAGAAAATAGGTCATTAGGATACAAGGCAATGACTTAGTCGGCAAAATTGAGAGAATCTCGATTGGCGACAAAATGCGCGTGCATCCTAGTCTCTCTTATCCAGACCAACTTAGTGACAAAAAAGTGTGGGTGTAGGAGCCTACATACATTCATGTTTCATTGGGTGGGAAAACACAAAGTGCGGTTCCTCTCTGGTGTACTTTGGGAGTTACATTAGAAACAGATACACGAGGTACGTGACACGTGTTCAAAAACGATGTGTATATGACGAGGAGACGATTAGCTCATTTCAATTGCAGAAATCGTCCAAAATGCATTTTGAGATTGAGAAGCAGGTGTTTGTTTCATTATCTAGCTTCTGTATATGGTCTGATCTCTCGAGACATTGTGGGCAAACACCTCTTCATCTCCAGGTGCACCTGAATTCTTCCTGCATCAAAACTCTCCCCATGTTTCCAACGAAGTTCTTATTGAAAGGGATTAAAAAAAGACAGAAATACCTTAAAATTAATTTTATTTACATAAATATAAATTCAGTATTTGCTGGGCATGATAATAAGAAATGACTTGATATTATGGTCACACAACAAAATCCTGGGGGACCAACAAGTTTTAAGATTTAGGGAGAAAGGTGAAGAATAGCGGAAAGCTTCACTACAAGAAACAATAATGACCTTGTTGTGCAAGTCATATCTTCATGAGTTTATATTATTTCTTCAACATAAGCTTGACTAAATTACATAACACTGTTGGCTTTACTTCAGCTAAGCAGTTTTGCATATCTTGCTATCTGCAATGCCATTTTAAAACTGTTTGCCCAATTTTGGTATTTTTAAGGGCCTTTTTAAAGTCATAATTAAAAATAGTTTTTATACACTGAAGGCTGATATTAAAGGCCTGCTACCTCATAAATAAATCTGTATTTCGGTAACTGGATCTATCCCTGAAATGGATGAATAAATAAATGAATGAATGAAAACAAGTCCGCAAATTAAGACAGAGACAGGGGCTATAAAGCCTTCAAAATGTAACAAAACTCTTAGAAATTGGAAATGTGGAGCAAAGCATCAATGACAGAGGAAAAGATCTTAATCAGAATAAAGCAGACCTTCTGATCTTTTATATATAGAAGGGAGATAACTACAATATGAAGTAAAAGGGAGACTACAACAAAAAATAAAAAGGGAGATAACTGAATTATTAATAAAAAGGGTGACAACACCATATTTCTAACATAAAAAAACAATAAAATAAAAGGGAGACAACTGCAATAATAAATAAAAAGGGAGATAACTAAATTATTAATAAGAAGGGAGATAACTATAATATATCTAACGAAAAAAACAATAAAAGGGAAATAACTGCAGTAGAGATAAAAGGGAGAGAAGTACAATATACCTGAATACATACTTGAGACTATCTGTATGACATTTATATTCCATGATAGTATTAGGTGGTAGGTTTAATATTCTTTTTAATGTATCACGTATTCGAGATGTGGTCACATGATCATTGGCCGTTCTATTCCATAATGATAATATATCTTCCTGGAATGAATAAAAAAGATAATGAACGAATGAATTAAAGAAGCAGTTTGTGTTAGCAAGGTTCACAAAGTTTCTAACTACCAGCTGCTCCTTGACCAAACCTCTTGGCATTGATCTATCCCAGATTATACATACCCAATAACAGCTGGGTCGACTGGAATAATAAGGAAAACTTACAAACCAAAGTTAGAACCCACAGCCACCATTTAAGCACGTCATTCCTTCGCTCTGACAGCCTGTCTTGTGAGTGATTGGGAATTAATTGATGAATGAATGAATCATACCTGATATCTGATGGAGACTACAGCACCACAAACTTCCCCTCCCACCATGAACTGTTCCCCTAGCATAGCTAACACTAAATTCTCCCAACATCGTGATGCTATGCCTTTTTTTAACCTGATGATCCACTTTCCTCCTGCTTTATTGGCATCATCCTGCAAGCATATAATATCATGTATATAAGGTTCATTATCAATGCCATAAAAAAAATGCCACGCTTGTGTAACATGGGTGAAGTTTCTCAATTTAGCTAAGTTGATTGGTTAATCACAAAAATCAGACTGAATCAACCAATCAGATAACAGGATTTTTTTTAAATCTTGTTGGTTATTTTTGCTGTACCTTAAATTGTGAGATCAGATCAATTCTGCAGTTTTAAGAAGAAAAAATGAAAAAAATTTGTCATACATAACTTTTCCCGAAAATTGTCCTCATTGCGCAAAGCACGACGTTACAATATCAGTCAAATAAGTGAAGAAAGCTAAGAGAACCTTACACTCCTCAAGGTAAGAAAATTCTGATGCCACAACCAAAGTTTTTGAGTGTGGGATTAATGTTGGCTTCAACCACCATAGAGTTGATTTAATTCATTTGAACCTACCTCCCACATGGGTCGTATACCTTCTTTAAATATATGATAATCACTGTGACCAGAGAGTTCACTGGGTCGTGATAGATGAGTGTAATATGACCAGAACTGTTCTACCTTAAATGGAAGAAAATCATACAAAATTTAAATATTACCATTGTTAGGGCATGGTTCACTAACTAAAGTAGATTTAAGTCTTTCAGTCATGGGATTGGTTAATAATTTAAGTTTCACTTTCATTATCCCATCAGATTACTCTATATTTCAAAAGCTGCACTTCATCCCAAAAACCCCCTGGTGTAAATTGTAAATTTGACCCCCAGATTCAGAGCATCAGTTGCTATAAGGGAATTTTTCTGCTAAAAATTCAGCTCGGTTCTATTTTGTTTATGAAAAAGAAACCAATTTCATGAGAAACCTGCAAAAGTCAGTCTATTCAAGCATTACATACAATCAAAATGCAGTCTTCCATTTGTAATGAACCACAAATATACTTACTGAAGCAAAGGAGCCAACAAAGCGTAAGGTCTGGTCATAGCTTGTGGTCTGTTTACCAGGTGTTCGTTTAGAGAACCATAGAGAATAATTAAACTGTATAGGATGTTCACCAGATCCTGGAGGCTGCAAAAAAAAACTTGGACAATCTGATGCTGATCTAAATAAAATTTCCATATTAAAAATGAATGGTGTCAAATTTCATAACTGAATACAACCAGGCTTCGACAGACTCATTTTTCCGAGTCACAATTCAATGACTTGTCAATTTTCATGATTCTAAGCTTAAGGATGGCAAAACTATGCAGTGTGTCATGTGGGAAAGGAAGCCTATATCTTAAAAATAATATATGACAAGAATTGGAACCATGGAACCACAAACAAGTCTTACAGGCGCTGGTGTCATTTTGATGTCCATTTTACTTTTAAGACTGTTTTCCTCATCTCTGTCTTCCCCCTTTAACCTGTAATATATAAACAGTTGACCGTACAGGTTTTAAAAAGAAGATCCTGTCTACCAGCTGATCCTAGACCAAACCTATTGATCTTTAGCTGATTATCTGTGTATTGTACCCACTTGCAGCTGAGTCGACTGGAATAATGAGAAGGGTTACAAGACTTTAAATTGATGATTGATATTAGAACCAACAACCACCATTTATTAGAAGAAACCAAGCAAATGACGTCCAGACATTTGAACATAGGGAAACTTGCTATCTCGGACTACAAAACAGTTATTCGGACTAAAACCAACACACATGACAATTGACATGTGTATAAGCATATGGATCGATGCCCTATTCCTAATTTGGGCAAGAAATAATTCAAGAAATGGATCATTCTACTTGAAACTGAATAGATCAGATCCTCGGTCAACCTCGTTCGAACTAAAATACAAAGATGACCCTTACACGTCGAACTTATTCATGTTGTTCATTTTGTTGAAGTTGTTTTCACGTTTTTATTCTATGTGATATTAGTGAATTTCGTTACCTGATCGCTGATTGGATGAAAAATTTCTATTTACATGACGCGTCATTTGATTGGTTGATACATTGCTTAAATCCAAGATGGCAGCCTCCAGTACTCGACAAAAATTGCTGTCATTAATTGACGATATTGAAATAGTTTCAAAGTAAATGCTTCATATTTTGAGACCGAACAGAAATCAGAGAGCCTCCAACTTTCTGAATTTGTAGTTTTTATCGTAAAAAATGTCTGCAGTCATAAAATATTTTCGCTTTTCCAAATGATCCTAACAAAAGAGACAAGTGTCGCATAAAATCAGAACATGGAGACCATTGTTTGCCTTTGCATTAGTAAACTAATGACTGTTTCTTTAAAGAGCAAAATTCATTGAAATAAACTTATATGCAGTATCATTGTGTTACTTATAATGCTACAGAAACTGTCACTCACTTTAGACCTTGTAGCCATAGTAAAAAGTTAAAATATAAGCTCCCTTGTTTCCAATTTCCATTTGACCCAGCTGTAAAGAGGTATAGATAATCAAGATATAGATGCCTGGAGGTTTTGCCAAGGACCAGCTGGTTGATAGATTCCTTGTGAACCTAAAAGGTCGTCCTTGCAACAAATTTGTTGTTTCTGTCTTTATAATGATTGTTATATTTTGTTTCAGAGAACTATTTGAAGCTTTAAGTACCCCCAAAACCCAGTTACGTCCTGATGGAGCAGATTCTGTTATGCTCATGGAATTATTGGTGGAAAAAGATCAGGAACTTAAAGCCACCATTAAAACAGGTATTTCAAAGATTCTTGTAAAGGTTTTATATTGTGTTATCCATCTATGTGTTCAGGAAGAAATTTCAATGCTAAAATGCACATCAAAGTTTCCTTTTTCGAAAAGGCTTATATGACTGAGTTGGGTCTGGGGGAAGGACCTGTCCCCCCTAAGAAAATTTTGGCCTACTGAAAAATTTAGATGACTTAAATGACTTGTTGAGCCGCAATAGTTGGACCCCCTTCAAAAAATTAGGCCCCCCCCCTCCCCCCATGAGACCCTGGGCTGGCTACGGGCCTGGTGCAAATAGTTGTTAACAGTGTCCTTCATACACATAAAAAAGTTAGAAAACCTCTTTACAATCCCTATGAGTATTAGCAAGTTTCATAAGTAAACAATTTGAAAATGATATTTCATGATTTTTCTTTCAGCTGAAGAACAGGCTGAAATTCAGTCAGTGATGGACAATTTGAAAATAGAAGTTGAAAAAAGGGATCAAGAAATCAAAGTTTTACAGAAAAATTTAAAAGACTCTGAAACAATATTGGTATCATAACTTCCATCTTAGTATTTGTCCTCAACTAAGAATTTCAAATTATCTCCCTTTAGTCTCCAAGCCTTTGCAAGGTTGGATATAGTGGACCAGTCATCTATTTGCCCCCCTCAAATTTCTATTGAACTCTTCCACACATGCATACTTTCTGTCAATATGAATGATATAAATGTATGATTGGAAGAGCCCATTTGGAAAAATTAGGGTGAATTCTGTTGCCGTTTTTGCTTTGGTTGTCAAAGACAAATGCTTATGCCACAGTTGTTGCTTTTAGGGTGCACTTTTAATGTTTATTTCAAATCCTAAAAAATCGAATTTTAATATTTTCTTTTGATTTCATTTTAGTCAACAGCAGTCTATCAGGCCAAACAAAAGCTGGAAAGCATCGCACAAGCAAACAACAAAAGAACATCATCAGAAGATTTGATAAAGTTTGCTCATCGAATCAGTGCTAGCAATGCTGTGGCTGCTCCTGTCACTTGGGCTCCAGGTAACTTTTATCTTTTTAAAAACAACATGATGGATATAGTTGACTTTGGTGATCATTGATGTGTATGATCTGAAATAATGATTAAAATCAAGCAAATAACTTTTTTTTTTAGGTGATCCAAGACGCCCTTACCCTACAGATTTAGATATGAGACAAGGATTTTTAGGGCAGGGGACTTACACGGATGTTTCTGCTGTTACCAGGAGCAACAGTCAGATTTCAAACAGTAAGTATAGGTCTTCATAGATCTGCGTTTCCATTCATCTTTTTTGCAGACTTAAAGTAATCTTAAAGACAGTCCTTGCTGCTATCCTGTGACAGTTGGAAACAGTGAGCATGTGAAAAAAATGCAGTGGCAAATTCTACCTCATTGTCTACTGCAGTGTTTTTTCTTAAAGGAAGGCCTATCGGGTTGAATATTCTAATGACCTTGAACATGTGTTGGATGGCAATTTTGTCAGATCATGGATGACAAGTGTTCTTCACCATTGAATCTGATTTTGAATCTTTTTTGTTCAAATTTTGTGTTTTGTAGTTTCAGAAACCACTGGTACGCCAGTCAACTCTAACACATTGTCATGGCAACATCCACCAGAAGTATCCATCACTACTAGTCTATCCCATCATTCCATGCCCGAGTTCAAAGGTCACAATAAGGAAAATGAAGAGATTGAGCTGATGTCCAGTGACTCTAGTAGCAGTAGCTCTAGTGATGAGTAAAAACAGGTTTTGGATTTTCGTATGAAAACTGTAGATCTGAGAGAACTTGTTTAGCCTGGGTCTAATGTGGCTGGGAAGAACATTTGTATGGATGAGACAGATGCTTGAATAGGACCCACCCAATCAAGCTTAGGATTTAGATTGTACCAAATTAAGATATGAGAACTGTCCAATTTTATTGCGGATGACATTTTCTTGTTCTGGATTGTGAATGCGTGGACATGAAGTATCAAAGATGGTCATTTTTTGGACATAACATGTGCCAGTCTGAAAAACAGCTTTGATAATTCAAGGATAGCTTGACATTTTGAGGACCACAACTTACAAAAGAGGTCTGAATGCTTTAAATGGTGGAACCAGGTTATGGTGTTCTATGCTGGATTGTTGATCAAATTCAATTATTTCTGCATTGTGTCAAATAGGGTAAAGATGGCAAGAGAAACAGTCATTAAAAAATGAATACATTTATTTTTCAAAAAGTGAAATATTTGATAAAAATTGTAATGGATGGAATGTCAATTGACAAAAAAAAATGATCAAAATATACAATGAAAATAGTCACAAAAAATGTCACAAGATCACTTAAAATTTAGTGTTTATTTTTGAGGGAAGGAGGGTTTCTACAGTGTCTCAGGTTTGTGGATTCTGAGATTCTTGTCATTAAATATTAAAGGGATATATTCATGTAAATGTTTGCTTTACCAGTTTTTTAAGCCAGCCAGCCAGCTGTGGCACTTTTCAGAATTGAAATCTGACATCTGGTTCTAAGGCATTGTGACTCCATTGGATATAACTGCTAATATTGTCAATTTGACAACTACATTGTACATAAAAGTGATGACAGTATTATTTTCATTGAATTGCAGATGAACTGTAAGTCAGATATTCAATCTGCAAATTAATACTCACAGCTGAAATTTATGTCTATTTAGATGAGAAAGAAAATATTTAGATAACTATGTACCTTTATAAAAAGTCATTAAAATTTAACTTGAGATTTATGGGATAGCTATTAAAGATGGTGACTGTAAAGAATCACTTTAAAGAAAAATATATAAACCTACAAAAGAAAAGGGCAAAATTTCACAACCTTTTGAAAAAACATTAAAAATATTTTAAAGAAATGATGAAAGTGCATAGTTTTTACATTTAAAAGGCAAGAAGTATTGTGCAATAATCAATATGCAAATGAGATGATTAATATGTACATATGAATTAAGTAAATTAAGCATTATGCAAATGATGTTAATAATAATCATAATATGTGAAAAGAAACTATAGTTTTGATTACAAAAGTGTTTGGCAAAGACATATAAAAAAGATTATTACATGCATAACATTGTAAGCTAGGGGTTTCCAACCTTTTTCTTTCTACTATCCTTTTCAAGATCCTTGACCACCGTTCACTCCATAAATCCTGACTATTTTTTAAGGTTTTTCTCCTGGTTGAAAACCCCTGATGTAAGCAAATAATACCACTATTGTTATTATAACTTTCACCTAGCTTAACTATCTTAAATCTGGATTAGAAAGATTTAAACCAGATTAAAAATGTCAATTCATACTAAAGCTTAAACTATTTCAACAAGCAATATCATATACAGGGGAAACTTAATCTGCACAATATCAATATTTCAATATCCGGTCACAAATATCATTGGAAAAGAGGAATTGTAGACCCTTTAATGTGTTGACTTGAAAAATTCACGTGAAAAAAATATCTATAATGAAAATTTAAATATGGCCGAACTATTAGACTGATTTTAGGAAGAAACAACCTTATAAATGTCACATATTAAAAAAAAAATAGGCAGAATTGGAAATGAAAAAAAAGTTAAATATGAACAGTAGGATTTGTGGCAGTTGTTGATTCTGTTTCAGAATTGCTAAACTCCACCATTTTGTTATTGTTAAAATTTTTGTAATTTCGTGGGACATGACGTAAATATCCTTTTTTAACGGCCCACACTATCATACTGACTGCCACGATTGATAAAATAACGGCCAATGTCACCGGGATTCCAACCGCTAAACCAATCCTCATCCCTTCCTTACCATCATCAAACACTTCTACCTTCGATGCAGACGCTGAAAAATACAATTTAAAGTAGGCATTTACTCTAACCCAGCAACCAATCAAACATAAGGTTATGGAAGGGAAGTTTTGGTAGACTTGCTCAACCAAGTTCAAATGAAATGGAGTTTTACCTCCTTCTAATTTGCACATGTTTTGGCTAACAATGAGGATCAAAAACTATGCAATAAGGTAAATTTAACCAGGACAGCGGCATTAGCCTGCCGAGGAAAATTTAACTTGACGTCTCTTGCATATCGGTATCCCATCTTAATAGCTGCAATGTATTGTATATTGTGGTTCTTTAAATGTGTCAATATCCTGTCCGAGGAAAAGATAAGGCAAGATTTGTTTGGCTGAACAAAAAACTGCATTCAAATGCAATACTTTTTTAAGGAGCAGAAAAGCAAAACGCAAAATTAAAAGTTTTACCTACCCTTTGCATCTAAATACATATAACCAAAATCTTTTTTATTTGGCTCAGTAATATTTCCAAATAATGTCCACATGTCTTTCGTGTGTTTCAAACATAACTTGGCTCGAAAATCATCTTCTTTAGGAAAGATATCACTTTCATTAAATGTGGTCACTTTTCTAATATCAATGCATTCTTCTTCTGTAGCAGAATATCCTAAAATAAAGGCATTGTAAAGAGGGTTTGAATCATCCGAAAGTAAGAGAAATTTTTAGGCCACAGCCTTTGCTTTCATTAGTTAACTTGTCAACTTTAAACCCCTTCCCTTTAACCAACTTTGATAGTTGAAATCGAAGCTGCTTAATGCAAAATTTTCTTCATTGAACACAGCACGGCATAACTGTCTTTAGTCAAACGTAAAACTACAACATTTGAGTATCCTTTTCAATGAATTAAGCATTCAAAAGTTATCCAACTTACCATCAACTTCCATGACAGTATTCTTGTCTCTAAATGTAGCATACATTCCACCATCAGTACCTTTTTGTACAGAATGGATTAAAAGTGTACAAGGGTAGACTTCAGATTTATAATTATAATTGCCGTCCCATCGACGGTACTGTTGTAATATATCTTTCCATACTGTATCTTGGTCTGACGATACTGAAAAAATAACATTGTAGAAGATCGTATAAACTCAAAGGGATTGTAAAAAGGTTTTCTCAAAGGGATTGTTAAGAGGTTTACTTTAAGGGATTGTTAAGAGGTTTACTTTAAGGGATTGTTAAGAGGTTTACTTTAAGGGATTGTTAAGAGGTTTTCTTTAAGGCATTGTAAATGGATTGTAAAGAGGTTTTCTCAAACGATTGTAAAGAGGTTTTCTCAAAGGCTTTGTAAAGAAGTTCTTTTATAGGGTTTATTAGAAAAAAATATTTTCTAAACTTTTTATGTGTATCAAGGACTCTAATATCTTCAATTGGCACCACTCCAATTTTCAATCAGACGTCTGTGGCTCTTGTAATTCCACTTAATGATGTAACTATCTCAAAAACTATACATAAAATTTTAAGAAAACCTTTTTACAATTCCTTTAGCTTTTTATATGTTTAGGAAATTTCCTTGGCATTGTTAACCAAAATGGTGGCTCTGTCCGTGGCGAGTTGGTGTTTAGGTGATGGTAAGAAAATTCTGGTCCCATGGCTATTGCTTCTACAAGTTGGCCTTGGTCAGTTTTCCACCCATGCAAAGAAAACGGATATTTTCAACACTTGTTTAAGCATTTAAAATTTACCTGCAAATTCTATGAAACATGAAAATATAATAATGTTGATGAGGCTCAAAGCCATGGAACTCAATACTGGTTTATACATTATAGTTTAATATCACAGCTACTGTGGTGGGGGGCAAACTTCAGGGAATGATGGGGAATTTAATATCTCCCTTCGTATCACATAATCTTCATGTATTATTTTATCTGAAATAAATAGTTATTCGATTATTAGTTGGTTATTAGAGCAGGGGAAAGAATGATTGATACCAATAACAGCAGGGTTGTGGGGGGAGACATTGGCATTCCAGAAGAACAATTTAACATTTTTGAGAATTTTTAAAAATTATTTCTATATTTTTTGCCCAGATATAGATCTATACATTGTGTCAGAATTCACCAAATTTATTCATTTTTCAAAAACTTTTTAGGAGACCCTTAGCCGAGCCTAGGTCATGGTAAGCTTTCAACACTTGACTTCCACATCATAAAGTCAGTCTTCCCTCTGTATATACCCCACATTCCAAGAGTGAGTCACTGACCAAATCAAGTCAAGAGTGCTAGAACTTTGGTTAGGGACCAGTTGGTATAGCCTAGGATCCTTGCTTAAATAATAGTTTTCAAATATGGCCGTCTTGGATGTGTTTTGTCTTCTGTTTATTACATAAGGTAAGGTCATTTGACATTTGATATGCAACATTCCTTTCTTTAAGATTTGTTGGGGATTTGCCAAAAAAATTGTTGACACGATGACAGAAGTGATAATCTAAAATATGTAGCCTACAGTAGCCTATGCATATGTCCCATTATGCAAGAACATTTTATTCAATGTTTGATATACAGCCCCCCCCCCCCCCCCCCACCATTCTCTTCATAACTTGAGAATCGTGTAAAGGGCCTACTAAGGGTATTTGTAATTTGTAACATGTAACAATATAAATGGATTAGCCTATTTCCTCATCCCTTGGTCAGTCATCATCATTTCCACAACAATTATTATGTCTTTCTCCCATATTTCACAGTGTTTTTGAACATAATTAGTACAAAACATGTTACCTATCAAACCTGTTTTGTGATTAACGTGTCAAAAAAAGTGTTAACAGCCATAAATCAACTCACCTGTCTAAATTTACCTGAAAGCGACCTAACGACATCTTTAATCTTACTTCTCTCTAATCATAGGTCAAGGTTGTTTAGGATAAAAGCCTCGTTCGTCCAGACATCATTGATCTAGACAGTTTGGCCCTAGACGCTTTCAACCAGCCTTAATAAGAAACTAGTTGTAGTCTGACTTCAAATTTTCTGTAACTCAGCTGCTTCCCTTGAATTGCTCTCATTGAAAGAAAATCATAAATAGTCTAGTGTCATGTGATTTTTTGTTGACAACTTTTGATTGAAAAAATATTTCAAAATTTAGAATTCTAATGATATGAATGAGCATAATGATCAAATTTTGCATGATTTTAGGCACTTTTGCATTGGCTAAATCGATTTCTGCTCAACTTTGCGTGCAGACGGACTCATGCACCTGTCGCTTTGATGATGGGAAGGCGAGTGCCAAACTTGGGATTGAAGATGGGCTCATTAATCTACACAAAATAGCAGACGATGGTGAACCGGTGTTGTTTGATGATGACAAAGGGAAAATTTATTACTATACACCTTGCAGCACTTACCCCTGTACATCTAAGACTAGTAAGTACCACTCTAATTGAAAATAAATTACAATTTAGTTGTATTATTTGCTTTCTGGTCTCCATTGTAATCAAACAGGTTTTCTACCGATGTCCTCTTCTAATGACATTATTTTAACTAATCAAAGTGGTCAGTCAGATAAGCATGATGATAAGCCTCAATTGGGTTTGCAAATCTTATTCCTGTTTGAATTTCGACTGAACATTGTAATCTAACAAGTGTTCTACCATAGTATTGTTCAACTGACATTATTTTTAACCAATCAAAGCATGTCATGATGTAGAATCTGTTCTTTGATATCAGAAATAAACATGGGGTAGTTAAGTCCTATTTAGAGCAATATGACAGGCTTTTTTGAGTTTGGTAATCCAACAATTCGTCATTGTTATTCATTGTATTTACTGTTGTTTATCTTTCAGATTCAGCATTGTGTTTGGCTCATGAACAAGATCTGGGAGATTTAAATCAAGTGAAATTTTTTACCAATAGAAGTTCTTCCTTAGAGAAACCTCAAGTATCCATAATTTACCATGTAGCTAGTAAGTTCTCCTACTCACTCCTAGGGGCAGACTGAGCAACTCTGGGACCCCTGGAAAATATGTTTCTCAGGCCCCCATCCCATCTAGGCGCTCTCAGCCTGCAAAGCCAATTTTGTATGGGTTTTGACTAAATCAAGGGCAATAACTCCTAAACCCTTCTTCTGCTTATAACTAAATTCGAACTTGACAAAGATTTCATCAAACTTTACAAGCATACCAAGTTTCATCAAGATCGGATAAAAACTGAGCCTCTATTGTGTCTACAAGCCAAATTGGACAGATATTTGCTAAGTCAAGGACAATAACTCCTAAACCCTTGGGTGTCCATAAATGTAGACCAAACAAACCAGTCCATTAATTTATTATTCTTTGTTATTATAGATGATTATTATTATAGATTCTAATATAACCAGTCAAGTAGATCTGAAGTGTAAAGATATAACAGAGTTTAAGTTTGAGAAGATGATCAATTCTACAGCCTATCTGTTTAGTCTAACATCACCGTGTGCCTGTATTGATGGTTGTTTAAATGGCCATAGTATTAGCACTGGGTCTATCCTTGTCCTTCTCTCCTTCTCAGCTTTTATCATTTATTTTGGAGTTGGTAAGTTAAATGAGAATCAAGTGTCACATGATGTCATTCCCTGGCTGTGGGTGTCAATTGTCGAGTAATTTTTGAGGCCATTTGGACTAAAAAAGGGACCATATCCACTTTATATGTGGGTGTTTGGGGCCATTTTGACTTTTGCAGCCATTTTGACTATAACCCATTGTTTCTGTACTTAACTAATATCATACATTTTTAAGAATAAAGTTCCTTGTCTGAACTTATTCCCCTTATTGCACACTGCATGGCATTCTGGTTTTTATTTGTTCCTCATAGGGTGCAGAAAAAATAGGACAAAAACGTCTCCTTATTTTCAATTTCAGGATGTTTGTACAGAAACGTTGTATTGGGTGCAACTGGGCAAGAAGTCATACCCAATCATTTATTCTGGGCCTCACTACCTGGCTTAATTAAAGATGGTTATCTATTTTTTCTCAGTCCCTGTCTAGGAGATAGAGCGTCAGAAAGAGTTTATGAAAGACTTTGAGTGTTGTTATAATTTTCTTTGTAATACCACAAAAATTAAGTTTTTTCTTTGACGTCACAAATCTCAAAAGGCCTTTTGTGATAAAGCATATTTTGCGATTAGTGACATAATAAAACACTTTTTTTTTGTGGAAATGCAGGAACCACAGTCTGATTGAAAATTGGAACAGTGAAATTGATGCCATTAATGTTCCCATTTCGCATTCAAATTTCAGCATAGCCTCCTCACAATTTTGAATTAATAACAATGCTTGATTGACATAATGTGTCTTCGCTCATAGCTTTACTAATACTAGTCTTTACTAATACTAGTCTTTACTAATACTAGTCTTTACTAATACTAGTCTTTACTAATACTAGTCTTTACTAATACTAGTCTTTACTAATACTAGTCTTTACTAATACTAGTCTTTACTAATGAACTAAGTAGGCTCAATTCTAGTTGCATATTATTTTATTACATTTAATTTTGTTTATTTTGCATGCTAGTGTGAGAATAGTTGGTTTAGTGTACAGGCCACGTATTCTCGAAACGATCTTAGTGCTAGGATGTCTTAGGTTCTTATCTTCTAACATTGATTTAGGACATCCTAGCGTTAAGATCTTCTTGAGAATACGTGACCAGTTCATCACAGAGCAATAGATAGGTTGGAAAAAGGGCCTGTACAACGTTGTATGCCACATACCAAATAATATTTTATTGTAGATGAACCTTAATTCAGATTTCTATTTTCAAAAGGTAGTTTGAAGTTTTATCAACTCACAAAGACCAATATCTCCCTGAAAAATTTATAAGATCTGTATTTTGTATTGAGATCTGATATATTGAATGTTATTTTTTTTTTCTGTTTCTTGTTATTTTATAAATCCTGTCCTATTTTGCTCTGTTTATATTGAAATAGATGTTTGTTTAATTTTGGTATGATTTTATTTATTCTACTTAAAAGTCAATGTGTTTCTGCCCATTGTTTTGGTGCTATTGGCCCAGTACCCTTTTAATAATTCAGAAAAAAACCCAAATTTACTGTAAATTTAAATTCAAAAAAATTTACTGAGCAAAATTTACATAAAAAGAAACACAAAACATATTTGCATTTAAAGTCACTATTTTACATAAATAAAAGATTTAAAACATGAAAATTAATTGAAAAGTGAGTATGATAATATTTTATATGTTTCATGATATATTATGCCTCAATAAAATTTGAGCTGTTTGAACACTGAGTATCAAACTCCAAAAACGAACACAAAAATATCATTCTTGTCACTCCTTCACTCTCCAGCAGTGAAGTACAAAAAAGTGTAACAAAATGGCCACCAGTAACTGGCTCTGAGGTTTAGATTCTATTATCACATTAGGGTGTGCTCCATTGGTTAGTTCTGACTAATTCTGGCTTCAATGGAATTTTACCGAACTGGACATGTCACATTCAAATTTTCCTTTTATTCCTTTCTCCGCCATTCTGAATTTTGTCTTCACATACTTCTTTTTCCTCAAAGATGGAACACAAACTGAACTCTTCCTTTATTGAAGGTGTCGTTCCCATGGTTCATCCAATGAATCTCAAACATGCCGAACTTGCCAACAAAACATAAAAACACATAAAAAATTATTGAAAAAATTTACATAAATCAAATTTCGATCTTAAATTTTATCACATTACGGGTGATCCATGGCTGACCAATTCTCAACAGGTCTTTGATATCTAGTATTGAGTTATAGTTGTCTGCCAGCTAGAGTCGGAATTCACATTAATCAGATTCCTCTTCTGGTTCCTGACTAGCACAAGTATCCTCTAGATCAAAATCAGTTAATTTGTTAAAGTACACTCGCATGAAGCCACTCTTTGCCTGAAAATATAAATCAAATTGAAAGAAAACTTGAAACACCCCTAAATTTACAAAATCAGCTCTTCCAATTATGCATATATAGTTTCATATCGATAGAAAATATGCATGTGTGGAGAGTTCACTTATGAGATTAGGGGTGTCATATTGTGTCCTTCCCAGGGTACGTTAATCCTTCAGCTTTCAAGACCTACCCAAGTGATGAATTTAGACATCTTTCACCTACCTTATAGGTTACACTCTGTCTTTTAATGGAAGCTCCTTTTGGTAAGAAATAAGTATGGGAAAGCGTTCCATTTTTAATGGTGGCTTCAGCTATAATGGAACTGAAAAAAAAAAATAAAAATTTTCAAGCCACTGTAAGGAGGGTATACTTTCATCCACTTAATATAGGGATAAATCACAAAAAAAAAAACGTCATCTGATTTGCAAACTGCAATGCAACAATGCACAAAAGCTTGGGACAAATGAGTTTTACGTCCTACTCTTCTTCACCATGTGGGTTAATGAAGACGGGCAACGCCATGCAGAGTGCAATGAGGGAAATTTTGCCTGCTCTTTTTTTTGGTTTCCAACTGTCGAGGGACTGGGACAAAGGGAGGAGTTTTAAAATTACTTTAAATCATGAAAATATTATATGAATAATGAAGGTGTAAGCATTTAGTTTGCATGGAACAGGATTAATGACCTAATTACCACGATGTCCCCAAAGTAGCAGAAAAGAGCAAGCTTACTTATTGGAGTAATGGGCTTTAACTGGTGTTCTGCTGCTAATCTCTGTGTGACTCAGAGTTATTCGCCCTTTTTTCTTACCAAAGCTTTCTTTATTACTGTACGTAACTGAAAAAACAAAAACATTCATTTTGAGGTAACGGAAGGTGAAACACCAGGGTGACTTTCAGAAGCACTGGTGATGGCATCCAAATTTTTCTCATCTTGAGGATTTTGAACACATAAACAATTTCATTCTTCAAATTTTCTGAGTACAAAATCTGAGCCCCAGCACCAATTCAATCCTGGCGACTGGACTATCTGATCTTGAACTGCCCTGGATTTAGTTTTTCTGGCTATATGCTAAAAGACATCTTCCAATATATCAGTGAAATTGCTAATGCTTAAAAATCTTTCCACCTAAACATTGTGATTGATATAAATATGAAGGACGATATTTACCATTATCAAAACTCGACATTTTCTTCTCTTTTTAACTTCAGTCCAGAACATTGACTTGTAAACTTAAAACCTTAAAAATATACAGAGATTTGCTCAAAAAATTTTCAATGTAATATGGTTAAAATGCAAACTAGAAGATTTACTGGGGTTTTTTTCTCTGTTAGTTTTTACTGACAGTGCAGTATTATATCTCTTCAGCACAATAATGGCGCTATGATATACTGGTGTTGATTGTAGAGATTATGTCATACCATATTGTCTGGTTCGATTATACTGACAAATCATCCAACTCTTTATACAACCAAACTTTGAGGTGATATAGAAGCTTGAGAGATTACACAACTCAAACAAAGACATTCATTATTGTTGTCCAAACTTTTTGTTTCACTGCATTCACTATGAGTGGTATAAACAAAGGCCCAAAGGGAAATGAATATGGTCTAATTTTCTGCTCCCAATATTTGGGATAATGTACATCATATGTAATAACATGCATTGTGCAATGAGGGGAAAAAAGAATTATACTTATTTATGTACAGTGAGGACTCGTTTATCCGCACATTTCCATTCTCGAAATAATAGGCTAGCCCTGTTGTGAGAGCTAATTCGCTGTACCGGACAATAGACCTTTTCACGATAAAAGCCGCGCATGCGCATAAATACCCTTGAGTGGCAAGCCGTCTGTTTACATTCGATTCAAGATGGCGTCCATCGATAAATTGAGAAAATTGAAACTAACTGATTTGAGAGTTCTTGCAATCGAGAAAGGGATAGATGCCAATGGTAAAAAGAAACAGGAGTTGATAGAAGACTTGTTAAACAGCCAGGTTCCAACTTCGGTTTTGACACCCGTACATAACCAGTCAACACCCGTCATCAATCCAACGCAAACCAAGTCTGCCACCAACGTCAACGATAAAGAGAACCTGCCTCCCTTTCATCGAGTCAAATATCTGCCGCAACTACCTTACGTAAAAGTTTTGTTTACGATGATTTACGATTTCCTGATAACGAGAGCAACAGAGTCAGGTGGAAGTGCTAATAATTTTAAAGGACTTGACAAGGCAGTCAAACACCATGATGCAGGAGACGTGAAAAACATTTCACATGCAAAGGCACGTAATCGTCCAACTAATATATGACATCAATTGTTTATGGTAGTAGATCTAGATCTTCAAAGCATAATGCTATGTAAATTACTTCTGTTAATATGGTACACAGCTTTTTTTGCATGACACCTAATATTTGTGTAGAGTAAAGAGCTCCCCCCTCCTTACCTCACACACACACAATTATTGTCTCATAATTACCTAGATCTACACATTGAGTCTAATATAACTTAACATCCGTGTTGCTAGCCACTCATAGGTGTTTGTGCGCATGCGCGAGCAGGGGGCGCTACGTTATCGTGAAAAGGCCTATAGGCTCAAATATACAAAAAGTCAATTTCTTTAGCATATCATATTTGCTTTGAAAATGTTATTTCGATATCCACAAACGTGTATATATTTCAAAGCCAAAGATCAAGAATCAACGATCAAAGACAACAAAGAAATTGAAAAAAGAAAGACTTCGAAGCAAATTAACACGAGAAGAAAGATAACTCTTTCTGTGAATTAGCCAAACGACAAATAAAGTTTTTGATTGTCGGTGGCATCAACATGAAATGATTGGATTTTTACGTCTTACTCTTCTGCACCTTATTGAGCTAATGCAGACGGACAATTCCGTGCACTGTGCTACGAGGGAAATTTTGCCAGGACAGCTGCATTTGCCAAATCTTTTTTCCCATTACCATCTCGTCATCTGTCGGAGATTTCAAGGCCCGAATCAACCCTCGACAGTGCCGTCTGAAGGACTTACAAAAATCAGAAAAAATTGCAAATATAATTAGCACAAAAATGTTAAAGTATCACAAGGAATATTAAAATATAATCTTCACAAACGTAACGACTGTCAACAATCCAACTGATTGGTACATGGGTGAAGCTGAACTCTTTGACTGGTCTACGGGTGTAGCTGAACACTTTGATTGGTCTGCAGGTGTAGCTGAACTCTTTGATTGGTCTGCAGGTGTATCTGGACTCTTTGACTGGTCTACGGGTGTAGCTGAACTCTTTGATTGGTCTGCAGGTGTAGCTGGACTCTTTGACTGGTCTACGGGTGTAGCTGAACTCTTTGATTGGTCTGCAGGTGTAGCTGGACTCTTTGACTGGTCTACGGGTGTAGCTGAACTCTTTGATTGGTCTATGGGTGTAGCTGAAATCTTTGATTGATCTGCAGGTGTAGCTGAACTCTTTGATTGGTCTACAAGTACAGGTGTAGCTGAACTCTTTGACTGGTCTACAGGTGTAGCTGTACTGCCCAAATCTTCTAGATACCACGCCTCTTCTCGACAGGCTTCTCGAATCGTCAGTCTATTCACTTCCAAGTAAGTCGTCTTGGTTTCTTGACATTCAGAAAATTTGTTTGTATTCTCGGTGCAATTTTTAAAATTCTTCTGGTACCTGAAAAATAGTTGAAATGGCCGATCATACTATCCTTTCGACCTTCACCAAAAGTAACTAAGCCTGACTGCAA